GTGACATCTCCCATACTGTGTGCCCTGTGACATCTCCCATACTGTGTCCCCTGTGACATCTCCTACACTGTGTGCCCTGTGACATCTCCCATACTGTGTGCCCTGTGACATCTCCTATACTGCTGCTTTCTATCATAGAGTGTCACCAATGTGCAGGCATCTTGTCTGGGCTCCTTGGGGTTTAGGACTTTTTCTCATCCTGCCAAAGCCTAGCACAGTTCTCTGCACCCAACAAGGACTCAGCATGTCCAGTATTTGTGATTGATGAATAGACAGATGGAGGATGGAAGTGAAGCCCTAATTCTGGTGGCCAAAATACAGCTCTGGGAACACAGGGTTCTAAAGGATTTAATTACAAGAAATGGCTGATAGCAGACATGGTGGTATGTGCCTGTAGGAGGATAACAAGTCCAGGAGGTCTGAGTCAGTCTGAGCAACACAGTAAGGTCCTGTCTGTCTGTCTGTCTTAGACAAGATCTTGCTATGTAGCCCTGGCTGACCTAGATTTACAATACTCTCTTACCTCAGCATCGGGTACCTCACTGCCACCACTACTGAGGTTACAGGTACATGACATCTTTTGTTGTTGCTTTGAAACAAGGTCCCACTATGTAGCCCTGGCCAGCTGAGGACTCACTATGAAGACTAGGCTGGCCTCAAACTTGTGGCTACTCTCCTGCTTCTGCTTCCCAAGTACTATGATTACTGGTTTGCTCCATCATGCCTGCTGCCTCTTTCTGTTTCTGCTGCTTCTTATTCGGTGGTGCTGAAGATCAAATCTAGACCCTGTGCATGCCAGGTTAAGTCTCTGCCATTGAGCTATATTCCCCAGCTCAAGATCCTGACTCTATACTTCCAAATGTCTACTGAACAGCCAGTAGAGGCCGTGGTACACGGCACGCCAGGAGAGATCAGGAAGCAGGCAAGGAAAGTAGGGTGTATGGGAATGGTACAGGGCAAGGGGCAGAGCAAGGGAAGGGCCAGGCCTGGAGCAGAGGTGGGGGACATACCACTTTGGGCTTAAAGGGCGGCTCCACCTTCCGCTTCTCCAGCAGGGACCAGTTGATAGTCTTGAAAAAGGGGTGAAGCCTGATGTTCCCTGTCACTCCAAGCCTCTTGACGGGGTCTCTCTCAAATAGCTGCAATCCACAGGGGCCTTGGTTAGGATTCAAGGCCATGGGAAACTGGAGCTCTGCAAACTGCTAACAGCCTAATGGCTTCAAGACTAGACAGACTTAGCCCAGGGAACTCTGGGGCGGAGGGTTAAGCTGTATGTCTTACTGATACTCACCATCGGCCTAAGTGCTCAGTGTTAGGCCTAAGTGCTCAGTGTTAGCGGTTTCTATGTGCTTTTAGCAAATCTGAGGCAGTTTGAAGATAAGGAGAGAGAGGTAAAGTGACCCACCCACAGTCACAGACAGAGCCAGGACTTGTGCTCATGTCTGTCTGTCTCCTGACTCTAAGTCCTTAGTCACCACACCCTGCTGAGTCCAGGCAGGGGACTCAAAAGGGACTGCCTGGGAATAGGGAGCAAGGCTTGGGATATACCAGGCACAGAGCCTCAGGGAGCCCCCATTCCAGAGACAGGCCTCCTGAAAGCCCAAAGGCATGTATCAGCCAGGCCTCACCTTCTCCATGATGTCCTTGGATTCCTTGGTGATCCAACGAGGATAGTGTGGTGTGTCTGTTCGGATGGACTCGAAGAGCTCGTCCTCGTCATCACCATGGAAGGGGGACTGGCCGATGAGCATCTCATAGAGGAGGACCCCGAAAGACCACCAGTCCACGGAGAAGGAGTACTTCAGGCCTTGTAGGATCTGGGGGCAACAGTGGTCAGAGTAGGGTACCAGCCTTCTTCAGGGAGCCTCTCTGGCTCTGTCCCACCAAGGCCAAATGCATAGCTGGGTAAGAGACATGTTACCTCAGGGGCGATGTAGTCAGGAGTGCCGCAGAATGTGCTGGCCCGGCCCTCGCCAAATATATTCTCTTTGCACATCCCAAAATCAGCAATCTTGATGTGGCCATCCTTGTCTAGCATCACATTGTCCAGCTTAAGGTCCCTGAGGAGAGGAGAGGACAGATTATCCCGAGGCACAAGTTCTAGTCCTCCCTAACATTGCTGCCACACATGGGATTTAGCCCTGCAAGTCCACCACTTCTCGCAGCACGAGAGAGCACAAAGGAGAAAGGGGATCTCAGGAGCTAAACAGATGCCTCTGATAGCCACCCACTGTGCTAAATATGACACACAGTGCCCTACTCCTTGAAGCCCTGAGTGCAGTCAGAGCAACGACATCACTGCCCCTTGTGACTTAACTGGCTGGCACATATATACCACCCCTGTCTATCCAACTCAGGTTCGTCTGACTCAACAAGGGCAGGGGCCATGTTTATCTCCCTCATTAGTCATTTGAATAGATAACTCACAGGCACGGGAATAAGTAACAATATATACAGAGTACGAGGTTCATCTCTACTAACGTCAACCACCAGACAGCCTCGCGAGTCTAGGCGTGGACAAGCAACTCAGAATACGCACCTCACACACGCGCTTTGTTTGTTTGTTTGGTTGGTTTTTTTGTTTTTGTTTTGAGAGAGAGAGAGAGACAGAGACAGAGAGACAGAGACAGAGACATAGCCTTGGCTGTTCTAGAGCTCACTATGTAGACCAGGCTGGCCTCCAACTCAAGAGCTCTGCCTGACTCTCCCTTCCAGAGTGCTGGGATTAAAGGCATGCGCCACCATGCTCAACTCTCACCTACTTTTAACATTATTTTTTAAATTTATACACATGCATGTGTGTCTGTGTGTGGGTAAGTGCACATGAGTGTAGCTGCCCACAGAGGCCAGAAGAGAGTGTCATATCCCTGGTGCTGGAGCTACAAGCTATTGTGAGCCACTGAACATGGATGTTAAGAACCCAACCCTGCAAAACAGCAGGTGCTCTGAACTCCTAAACCATCTCTCTAGCTCCTCACTCCCACCTCAGCAAACTGGAACACAGAGTCTCAATATGTAGCCCGGATGTCCTACATAGCCCAGGCTGACCTGCTCCTGTCTCCCAAGTGCTGGGATTACAGAGGTGTAAAGCCACAGTTTGGTTCCACACGTTAGTGTCTGCCTGACAAATGGTTTAGTGTAATCCCACATTAAGACACACAGAATACAGTCTCAGCCCCTCTGGTGAGTGTATGGCATCCGCCATAGGGTGGAGCCTAATGTACTGGATAAAGATGTAAGGATACAGTTTGTATTGTGAAATCTTAGATCGCTCAGCTGGGGTCTTTGGAGTGAGAAGGATGAGCATCAAGTGGGGAGACACTGTATCTGCCCACGCTGCCCCCTTTCCAACAGCGCTAAGTAAGGGCAGTGAGTTTCTAGCCCCAGGAGCTGCACCAGCCTCAGTTGAAGGGGCAGAAAACTTCCTGCACTGAGTCAGAAGGTTAGACAAGTACTCGGCCAAAGACACTCTCATCCATGCTGGGCCTGTCATCAGGTCAGGCACCACCCTTCCCAGAAGTCCCCATGGCCCTGGTACCAACAATACCTGTAAATGATGCCTTTGCTGTGTAGAAACTGCAGTCCACAGATGATCTCAGCTGCATAGAACCTGAGCAAGAGATGGTATTCCAGGATTTTGCCCACCAGTCCCATCACTCTATCCCAGGGCAGGAAATGCTAAAAGTAACTCTACCAACACCATGGACCCAACCAAGCCCATTTTTTAATCAGGTAAGTGGGGGCTGAAAGCCCAGGCAGTAAAGTTTGCACTAAAAGCTTAACAAGGTAATGCTCTGTGGTAGGAGGGTTTTCTGTTGACAGATGTGCAAACACATGCCATTCAGTTAGGGGTATAGAAATGCTTGACAACATTACTACTGTAGTCTAGGGTCCAATGGTATGCAGGGCACTGTCCGTTCTGTTGTCTGGCTGAGGCTGAAGAGATGACAGGACCTAGAGTACCTGTCCTGGTCCTATAACCAGACCTTGTTATCCACATGATGTCCCCAGTCTCCCCAGTGCTAGCTCTATCCTGACTTAAGCTTTTCTGGGGGCTGGGGACAGGGAGAGAAAGAATGAAGGACAGTCTGCCAGGACACTCAGGCAAAGTCCCTCCCCTCACATAGGGCCCTGACATACGTAGCCCGGTAGAGTTCAAAGCGGCCTTTGTCCTGAATGTGGTACATCAGATCACCCCCATTGAGGAACTCCATCACGAAGAACAGGTGGTCCTGGAGTGGGGCAGGGAGTAAGTGGAAGTAAGGGGACAAGTCGGAGGAGCCCCGACGGGAAGCAGAGAGCACAGGACTTGGACTGAGGGTGACAATTGGGAAGTGTAACTGGAACAGACACAGCCCCACTGCAGGGAGGATGACAGGGTTAAGGCACAGGTGATGACAGAGGCAAGCCAGGAACCTTGGTCTGGAAGGTACAGATGAGGTGGGTGAGAAAGGGGTTCTCCCAGGCGAGTGCCAGCACCCGCTTCTCCACCATGGTGCACTCCACGTCATCGTCGATCAACACCACGTCCTTCTTCAGGCACTTGATTGCAAAGTACCTGTCTTTGCCTTTCAGCTCTGCAAGCAGTACCTACCAACAGAAGGATGCTGAGCAAAGGCCCTGGAGGTTACCAGCACCCAGCCTCTGGTGCTTAACAGGAAACCCCTGAGCCCTGGTCCTCAGGCCACCCTCACCTTGCCAAAGCTGCCTTTGCCGAGGACCTTCTGGAAGGTGAAGTTCTCAAGTCTGCACTGGGTGCTCCCCTCCCAGATCTTGCCATAGGTCCCGTTCTTGTCTGGAGAGAGAGAGAGAGAGAGAGAGAGAGAGAGAGAGAGAGAGAGAGAGAGAGGCTAAGGTTCCGATGTACATGACTCCCTTCCCAGGGGACAGGAGTGGGCTAGGCAAGGGGCCTTGGAGGGGAGAAAAATGGCTGAGTGCTGACAGGTGGTCCCTCTTTCCAGGACTTACTAGACAGAGAGGACTTACTGGAGTCCCAAGGGTAGGCTGGGGAAGGAGGGGCCTTGGAGAGAAAGAGCTCAGTACCTTCTCCCAAGTCTCACTACTGTCCGTTTCCTTTGCCCTGTCGGGGATTGGTAGATCTAAAGGGACATGTGACCCAGCTTCACCTGGGAAGTCATTCTCAGAGATGTCTGTCTTCTTCCCAAATCCCTGGTATATTCCGACAGTCTCTGTGGTGTCCAGCTTCCGGGAAGATCTCTAGGTAAAGGGCATAAGAATGGAAGACCATTGTCAGAACTCTCAGACCAGGAAGAGGACCCCCAACCACAATATCCCCCTCAATTCAATGGTGTCAGAGGGGCAGAGCCCAGGCCTCCCAGATCTCGTTCCTCCCTTCCACAGAACCTGAGATCTAAAAGGTACAGATTATAGACAGAGAGTTAGTAAACTGAACCATGCCTTCCTAAGCATTTAATAAATGGTCTAATCTCAGTTTAAGAACTTTTTACATTTATTTGTGTATATGTGAACAGATACGTGTGCACACATGCATATGCCACAGGACACTCATGTGATCAGAGGACAACTTGTAGGACTTGTTTCTCGGCTACCCTGTGTGTTCTACGGAGGGAACCTAGGCTGTTAGGCTGTGTGGAAACACGCCTTTACCCAATGGAATGTCTTGCCAGCCACTAACTTCATATCTGGCTCTAGATTTTCACTCTAAAGTTTTGTGTTATCCCTTAAGTTACAGTCACATGTAAATATACACATACCATGAGAACCCCTTTCTCATACACCCAACACACACCACACACTGTGCATTCACACACTACCACACATATGCATAGCATATATATTATGTATATACAGCACAGACATGCATATATAACACACTTCACATACCACATACCACCCCCTACATACCACACACTGCATACACACAACACTCATACTATGTAAACATACTATATACCCTATGTATATACAGCATACATATGCACACAGTACATACTCTATATATCACACACACCTAGCTACTACACTCTGGGAACATACACTACATATCAAATAAATACCACACACACACATACATGCATACATCTGTCTCTCACACACAACACCTACACTACACATCTCATACATGCCATACATGGCACATACATAACATAGACCCAGTCCTTTCAAAATGTCCCAGCACTCAACTCTGCAACCCCTGCCTCCCCTCAGGTAACAAACTGCCTGAACGATGAAATTTCCAAAGATAACAAGGCCACCTCTCTCTGCTGCCTAAATTCATCAATGATCTTAAAGAAGTCTCATCCACCTTAGGGCTCCCCAGGCATACTGTAAGCCCTGATACCCTCTGCTCCCACTGCCCTATGTCTAGGACCCTCCCACAGGCCCTGCCTACCTGGGTCACTTGGTTCAAGGCCTCAGCCAAGAGCTTTTGGTTGATACCACACAGGTTGGCCACCTTCTCCCGGCATTTGTGGTGCACATTCATGCCACAATCTGTAAGAGTCAGAGGCAGGCCCAGCCATGTTAGGTCTCAGAAATGGACATGGAGAGTAGGAAGAGCAGTAGGAGTTGGGGGATTTTTTGGACTGTTGAGCTTCTGGGGATGAGGACCTTCGAAACCATCATGATATTTAATGGTTTAAATAAAGAAAAAGAAAATAGCTGGATGAAGTAACTCACACCCACAATCCTAACAATTGGGAGGCTGAGGCAGGAGGACTGCTCTGAATTAAAGGCCAGCCTTGGCTACTGTGTGAGACTCTGTCAAAGAAAGAGGTGGGGGGGAAAGGAGGGAGAGAAAGATAAAGAAGGGAGGGAGAGGGAGAAAAAAGAGGAAGGGTGGGAAAGAGAGAGAGAAGGTAAGAAAGGGAGAGAAGGAGGGAGAGAAAGGAGAGATGAAGGGAGGGAGAGGGAGGGAGGGAAAGGGAGGGAGAGAGAGCAAGAGAGGGAGAGAGAGAGAAAGGGAGAGAGGGAAAGGGAGAGGGAGAAGAAGAGAAAGGGAGAGAAGGAGGGAGGGAGGGAGGGAGGGAGGAAAGGAGGGAGGGAG